GTTATATCAAATTTTGATCCTTCTTGTTGTATTGCTGTTGAGAAATGTCAAAATATTTTTAGTGAGAATTCTGTTCAGAATGAATTGTCCTATATAAAAGCAAATTTTGACATAATTGTAAACACTAGACAACAAATACCAGATACAAAACTAGAGAGTCAAAAATTATCTTTAAATGATAGTATTTGCATTGTTGTTTCTGTTACAGAAAGAATAGTAAACCTTTCAGGGACAATTGGAAAAAAATTAAAGATGAATTTAGTGAAGTTTTAAACCGGAATGAAGGCTTTGCTTTATTGCGATCAATAAATAACATAATCAATGGAAGCTTTAACGAAGTTATTAATATGGATCCCTCGCTAGTCTCAAATTAGATTTGCGCCAATTACATCCTGTGATGTTGAAAGAACGTTTTCCTCATATAAACACATATTAACTGATAGAAGGCATAACATTACTCTTGAAAATATTGAACATTTTATGATTATATACTGTAACAGCAAGAACAAAGACATTTTCTTGTGAATTTTCATTAATATTTTTTTATTAAATGTAGTAATAAATAAACACTCTCTAAGTTATACTATAATTTTGGAATAATGGAAGCATACCAAATGCTTCCTGGAGTAATGACAACTTTGGATTAAATGTTGAGTGCCCTGAAGACTATCCTGCTGTGTATTTGGCTAATTCTTTTGGTTATTTTAATATGTTTCAAATAAACAATTTACCTAACAGTCGTAATGTCTTTCTAGATTTAGTATTTACTAATTTAAATAATGTTGATGTAGTTATTCCACTTGATTCACTATTTGATAATAGTATCCACCATTCACCTATAATTGTAGAATTAACTGGTTTTGAAAAGCATGATCAACTAAACTACTAGGAATTTTATTATGATTTTAAAAATGCAAATTACATCGGACTAAATGATTACTTTGCAAGTTTAAATTGAGACTTACTTTTATCAGATGATGTGAATTACAGCTTAGGCAGTATTTTATGATTTTATGTTTACAGGTTTTGACTTCTTTGTTCCGATCAAAAAATTTAAAACAAGTTCGTTTCCGATTTGGTTTAATGGTAAATTAAGGAAGTTGATATATTTAAAAAAGAAAATACATAAGCAGTTTAAATTATTTGGTAGAAGGGATGATTATTTAAGATTTTCTCAGTTAAGAAATGAATGTAATCAAGTCTCCTCTCAATGTTATAGTAACTATTTGAATAATATTGAGAATGGGATTCTATCTAATCCTCGACATTTTGGAATTTTGGAATTATATCAATAATAAACGTAAAAGTTATAATCTGCCATCTAGTATGTTTTACAGTGATAGTACAAGTGATAATGCTGAAGACATAGTTAATCTATTTGGTAAGTTTTTCTCAACTACATATTCTAATTCTAAAATTAATCAGATCCCAATTTTTAAAAATCAGCAGAGTGTAAATGTGAATAATAGTATTGAGGTCTCTGACATAATTGATAGTGTTTTAAAGATGCCTTGGAAATTATCACTTGGACCAGATTGTTTGCCAGCTTATGTTCTCAAGCATTGCATTTTTACTCTTGTAAAACCTATCTGCTACTTATTTAATTCTTCATTGAGTACCGGCATCTTTCCTGATCTTTGGAAGACTAGTTATTTAACACCAATTTTCAAGCCTGGTAATAAAAATGATGTTGAAAATTATCGAGCAGTTTATAACCAATCTGTATTACCCAAACTTTTTGAGAGTCTTGTAAATAACTTTTTGACATGGAATTGTAAAGATTTAATTGATGTTAGACAACATGGCTTTTCTAAAGGTAAGTCTACATGCACGAACTTAATATTGTATACGAATTTTATAGCTAATTCAGTGGAACAGAAGGGTCAGGTTGACGCTATCTACACAGACTTCTCAAAAGCCTTCGATAGAGTTAACCATGATCTGCTTATTGCTAAATTAAAATGGCTATGGATTTGGAGGTAAAATAATTGAGTGGATAGGTAGTTATATATCTGGTAGATGTCAGTATGTTAAATATGGAAATTGTTTATCTCAACGAGTACCTGTAACCTCAGGAGTTCCTTCAGGGGTCTCATATTGGGCCTCTCTTATTTAATATATTTGTTAATGATATATCCTCAGTGATTAAAAATAGTAAATTTCTAATGTTTGCTAATGACCTTAAAATATTTCGAATAGTTAATGACCTAGTTGATGCCTCTTTGTTACAGAATGACATTAAAAGCTTAGCTAGTTGGTGTGAGGTAAGCATGCTATACTTAAATATACAAAAATGTTTTAAAATTACTTTTGGAAGATCAAGAGAGTTTGTAAATTATGATTATTGTATAAATAATGTACCTTTAGAGGCACGTCATAATATTAAAGATTTAGGTATAAATTTTGATTCTAAACTAACTTTTACATATCACATTAACGAAACTTCAGCTAAAGCTTTAAAAATGTTGGGATTTATTCTTAGAAACTGTAATCAGTTTTCAGTACAAACTTTAAAGTATAACATTTTTAGTTTAGTTCGATCAGTTTTGGAGTCTGGTTCTCTCATTTGGTCTCCTTCATATAACAGTGACATCTACAGTATCGAGAGAGTTCAAAATAAATTCTTGAGGGTATGTGCTTACAAAATTGGTTTTATTAGACAGCAATACACATATGATGATATACTGTCAATACTAAATATCTTATCACTACATGATAGAAGATGTCAAGCGGATTTATGTTTCCTTTTTAAAATTATAAATGGATATGTTCAAGATCCACATTTACTAAGTTTAATAAGTTTTAATGTTAATACTAGAAGAACTCATAACACTGAGATTTTCAACATTCCATTCCACACTACGAATTATGGCCAAAATGAACCCGTTACAAGAATTTTACGAACTGCCAATGAGCACAGCAATAGTTATTTGGAATATCTACAGCAACATTTAAGAAATCATTTGAGAGATTTTGAGCATTATTTAATAACTTAAGCTACTACTTTAATTGAATTTTGTTTGATTTTAATTTTAGTTGTTTTTTTATTAACGCAACCTATGTACAAGCTTAGGTAAAGGTTGACGTCATATTTCTGTAAAAATGGTATATCCCTTAATTAAATAAATAAATAATTTTATTTCTCACCAAATCTCAAACCCTAAAAATTGAAAAATAATTTTTTTTTGAAGTGCATATATAAATGCATATTGCATATAATAAAGGCATATTTGGTTACTTTTTAAGTGCATGTTGCATGCATATTTTAACCATTTTTTAGAGCATATAATCCAGTCTCTAATTATGAGTTCAAAAACCTTCGTGTGATGACAAATTTTGCAGATATGAGCACTTTAAATATGTCATATTTCCCCTCCCGCCAGCTGCATAGAACAAATAACCTTACAATACATGTTAATAAAGCAATGTAAACTTTTTATGTGGGATAAAAGCAATTCAGTGAAAAGTGTATTAAAACTATCCACTTGTCCAGACAATGGATGGTACCCTAAGAAAACCATCCAACTTACAAATCCAAGTAGATATATGTGAAGGTGGAATATTCAACAGATGGATGGTTGAATGGCTATGAGTCAGTGAATGGCTGAATGGTATATATCAAAAAACAAATGGTACCCCGAAAAAACTATAGAATGTTCAGACTCTACTCTACAGAAACTATTACTACTATTCTACAGAAATATATTTCCATATTTCTCCCAACAAAATGTGTAAGACAAGCAGGGTAATTGAAACCATTATTTACTGGTTTGATAATTGTGGCAAAATGAAAGGGTTGGAACTTAGCATAAGATATGAATGGGATGAGAGATGGAAAAATAAAAATCTCTTATGTTTTATAGATCATATTCTTATATACGCAGACATGAACAATGACTATATCAGCCAAATGAATAAAATATGTTACAAGTAAATGTTTAAATTAAGAAACAAAGGTACTCATTACCAAAATAACAAAATCTATCATATATGTGGAAAACATAACCAGAAAAATACGAGAAATTAATGCTTGTACTGTTTTCATTGAAAAAATGCCAGGAAAGATTATATTATATAAAAAATATATTACAAAGCTTGCGGACAAATGACTAGGTGCAATAAAAAATAATATAATGAATGCATAAATAAAATAGAGAAAATAAAAAAACAAAATATAACAAGATTTTTTTTAATTATATTGTTAAATATATTTTAACATTAAAGATATGTAGAAGTAGTCAAAAATATGTAACAATGTTATGGATAAAGTGTAGTATACACTATTATTTAACTAGATTATCATGCATTGTGCTTTAACTATTCAATTACTGGTCAGCCACCTATTATTTGGGTATTTAAGGGTTACTGACACATGAAGATTATTTAGATGCATTGGGTACAACCTGTATAAAGTACAATAAAGTCTAATCTGAATTTAAAATAAGTTTCAATAAGGTAGTCCCATAATCGAGAGGAAGGATATACTTAGATGGTGAAATAAACATAAGTTAACAAAAATAAATATGACTTCATTCCTTCTACATATTGAGGATGTCAAAATTAATCATGATACTTAATAATATAACCTTATAGCTGCACTGGAAGAACTGTGTAAGAAATATTGAGATTGAACCACAAATAACGGATTTATGTTATTTAGGACAGTCAGTCTTTTAATAAACATGTTACATAGGTGGGTAAACCAACCTATGTAATTAATGTATTTTAATGATTCATTTTACTATTAAACAAGTGTCTTTAATCCCCAGTCTAATCAAAATATTTATATAAAAGTTAAATGTCGCAGAATAAACGGTAAATTTAGAAATATATTTTATATTTACACTACTAAAGAAAAATGAGATAAAATTAGAGCAAATGAATGTACAGCTAAGTGTTAACACCAGATAAAAATAAATATACAATTTTCAACTTACGTAATTAAGCCAAAAAGATTAGAGTGATGACATTAGTTATCAATAGATAACAGAAAAACTTACCAAAATAAATTATATGAGATGTTTATCATAACGATTATTCACAAAATCGAAGCACAATGATAGGTGCGGTCGTCTCGCTCGGATCTAGCAGTCGATGCTGTCGCTGTCAGTTTACTGCACTAATCACGTTATCGAACTGTCAATTCGATGAAAGTATACAAAGTCTGAGAAGCTACATTCACAGTTTTCTTAAACTCATACTCAAAATGGTTTTAATCCCTTTTGCTATATTTAAATGACTCGATTGTGTAGTGAATCATGATTTCTAAGTAAATTAGAAGATAGACAATTAACCGCAATAGGCGTGGTATAAAATAGCTCCCACTTATACCAGGCCTTTAATATTCTTCTTTAAGCTCTGTTTACACCGGTCGAAGATAGCGAAGCAATTTTATTTTAAAGCTAGTGAAATACTATATCAATAACTATAATAGTATCTTTTCAACAATAAAAACTATAAACTAAAAGAAAAAAATAAAATCAAATTCATAAAAAGCAATTTTATATAAAAACAAACTATCCTAAACTTTTTAGTGTAAACCTCACTTTAATCTTAATCCAAATCCTCTTTTAACTGTCATAGAAATTGCCCTTTTATATACGTCATTACAACCTCTGACAGATAGATGGTAGCAGTGAAGGAAAACTAAATTTTTACTCCTTTATTATAATTAAAAAGGCTATTTTAACTAATAAATAAAAAATCAATTAGACATATTTTTATTTCAATTAAATTTAAAATGTTTCTGTAATATTGTTACTTATATCTTGTTACAATATTTTAATTTTTTATCTTTATCTGCATTTAATGTATACGTATTACTTCTTGATTATATTGAACAGATTGTATATTCTAATAAGTTTAAATATTAGATACTTTTACCACGGTATATAAGCAATATACTGTGCTTTTACCACGTCTTTTTCAGTTCCATTTGACATTTCGTAAAATCTGAAACGCTGGTTGCCTATATCAAGGTTTTCGGGTACGTGCTCTCAATCTGTTCAAGTAGCATATTTTAGCAAAATCCCGAGATTCCTGTGCTAGTGAATTGTGTGGATAGACAGAAATTGAGAAATTGACGGCTATAACACTTACGTTTTGTGTACAAACAAAACAGTGTGGCTAGAAGTGGAGTAAAGAGATCCCCGGCACTTTTCTTGTGTAAAAGTGTTTAAATTAACTACCAAAGAGATAGATTTGCAAAAGTTCTCATTGTCCCAAGACTCACAAATTGTTTCTGAGTTACAGACCTTTAAAGTATCGGTTTTTAGCCTATTTGAATAATATACAATATTTATAAGAAAGATGTCGGCGTCCTTTCACATTTTGCCATTGATGATAAACTACTGTATCAAAGTTTGCAGTACCTACTTAGGAATTATCACTTAGGCGTCACAGTAAGACTGAAGGATCTTTAAATTGAGAAATAAATTTGCTAAGGAGTGAATTTCCCCGCTGAGTTACACAGGACCCTTAAAATTATTTACAACGGACCACAGTTCTCAAAAATATTTTCCCAAAAGTATGAAAAATTGTATTTTGGATAGCTTACTACAAATTTTTGGAAAAGAAATTTTGCACCAGATTAAAAATACAGATTTCCTGTGAATGCATTGTAATGAAACCACCGACGTATCAACTCAGTGCCTAAAGGTTTTATTATTTATATGTTTATATAACGGATTTTTTACAGTAGCCGTCATTTCTCCGTCCCCAGTCTCAATTCTTTTCTATTTAAGGTATCATCATCTAGTAAGTTTAGCCGCCATAGCCTCATTAACTGCATCTCTCCAACTTCTGTAAGAAAAATTGCAACACCCCTTATATCGGAAAAGGAAGCATTTGTGCTATTTAACGAGTATCGAGTGAATAGCCCGATGCCTCAACCCTCGTCCAGGAGGTCCGTAACTTTGATTTCAGAGTGTCTCCCTTCAAGACTGGTTGCCTTCTCTGCGGTCAAAAAGACATATCTTCCTTTCTTTTGATTGCATCTTCTTCTTTCAGTGCCCTGTCCGATTATCGAACGTTGGCAATCATATTGGCAATAATAACCTTATTCACGGCGGCTCTAAATAAATTAGCGGTGGTTTCTTGATACCATTCTCGGAGATTTCGTAGCCAGGATGTTCTTCGTCGGCTTGGGCCTCTCCTTCCGTCGATCTTACCCTGTATTATAAGGTGTAGAAGGTTATACCTCTCTGGATGTCTCATTACATGACTGAAATACTTTGATTGCATACTAGTCCTAAAACTGGCTTTCAGACCATTGCGAAGACTTATCTTCTATCGATGTCGTTGTGGATTTCACCCGTGACCCTGGGTGAGGGACCCTTAGAAGGTACTAGTTTGCCAGGTCAGGAAACACCTAGAATCTGCGGAAAGCGGGGATTGATTCACTTCCCCTGATAGTACTGTCCAAAAGCAGTTCCTACCAGCTACCTATTATGTTTATATACATCTATTTAATATAAATAAATCAAATCCTTGTGTACGTTACTCCACTAATAACCCTGTGTGGTTGATGTGGATATAAATTGTAATCAAAAAAATGTTTCTCTTCCTGTATTTAAATAATTTAAGTTACACTCCTCTATAGCATCGAGAAGCCTGGAACCCGCTATATCTGAATAACTCTTTCCCCATTCAGTGTGATGACAATTATTGAAATGTCCTCCTACCAAAAATGGCTTTTCCAGGATATCAAAAAACGTAACCCATTCTGTTTCTCTAATCTTTAGTTTTGGTTTGGTGTATTTAGAATATAGATTGATTTTGATATTTTTATTTATTGACACCGCTACTGATATACATTCCATGGCTTTTATTGGAGTAAATTTTGGCTTAGGAAAAATAGTAAACTATTTTCTTAATAAAGTTGCAACTCCTCCATAACCACAAAATATGGTCATGTTTAAAAAATATATTAAAATTATTAATAAAAATATGTGAAGATTTCTTTAACCAGGTCTCCGAAAACAAAACTACATTAATTTTATTATTGAATACGTATTTTTCGAAGTGACCTTTATCACACAAAATTGATCTTGTAAACGACTTGTGCTGTTGGTTGCTTTTTATTTTTTAGGGATGAAAACTACCTCTACTAGAAAAAAATTGTATAATTATAAATTAAAGCGGGTATTTGATCCAAATCATCCTTAAAAGAAGTGAATTTAAGATTTTATCACGGCTTAACCCCTAAATCTTACCCCTACATTAGTTATAATTAAATCAATGTCATTCAATACCTTGCCTCCACAGATTTACATGGAAAATTGGATTTAAGTTATACTTACCCTCCACTACAAAATTAGACTCAAGGTATTGGTTATTTTTTATTTTTTAGGGGTTAAACCGACCCCTATTAGAAAAGAATCATTAAAATTGTAAATTCAAGCAATTTGGAACTAATTAATTATACAGTGACATTAAATTTGGATTTCTTTACTGTTTTAATGTTTTAACACATAATTTGTACCTTTATAAAAACTACCTCTTACGGACCCCATTCTTAAATGGGTAAACTATGCTTATACGAAAAAAAAAAACCCGTACCAGTAACACATTATTTTTGTAGTATTGAACATTTATTAGACTAAACCATACACATTACTACAAAATACATTCTACTGCTGACGCTAACAGACTAAATAACAACTACATACTATTTTTACAATGTACACAAACTATCTCTGATTTTGCGTGTTCTAGACGTACAAAATTGTTACATTAAACACATATTTTACTAGTTTTTCTGTCTTTGCCACTACAACACATATGGCACCGCCCCCCTGTATTTTTAGTTTGTTCTACTCTGGGCTCAGTAATATTCAATTTTTTTTAGAATACATCTGCCATATGACGCTTTTTATTCTTTTCGATGTGATTATTGTAATAACGTCTGAAAGCATATTCCTTTATAAGTTCCTTGGCCAGTGCCAAAATATACATTTTACGCTTACTCATATTTTGCTTTTTCCAATCAAGATCTTTGAGTAGCCACAATTTATAAGAATTAATTCCTGCGACATTCCTGTTTGTTTTTCTTGGTACCGTATATTCTTTAGCTATAACTTATCGGTTGTATCGACGGCTCCTTTCGTTTTATTGTAATGTAAAATAATTTCAGGTTTATACGAGTGTTCTTCACCAGTCACTTTGTCGTCAATATGCTCACTTGAAAGTAAGATGACTACATTTCTCGATTTTAAAACATAAGAGACTAACGTTCGATGTTTTCTAAAAGCAAACATACTTGCATATACCTTGCATATACTTGCAACCATATGCTCAGAAAATAATAAAATCTCCTTCTCGACCACCAAAGAGAAACGTTACAATAAATTCCTTCTTTTTATCACCTGTGGATGAAAATGACTTGTTCAGATTATAGCCTCACTAAAATCGAATAAAACTGCAGAAGTAGATAGTATTAAATCTGAAGTACTTAAATAACTATCGCAAATACTAACTGGTCCCATTACTTATTTAATAAATAATGTATTTTCTAGCGGCAAATGGCCCGACCAACTTAAGCAAACAGTGGTGATTCCCATTCATAAGAAAGGCGATCCAAAATTAACAAATAATTAGACCAATCTCACTAATCACTTCACTTTGCAAGATATTGGAAAAAGCTATAAAATATCAACTAGTATTATACTTAGAAAAATATAAGTTAATTTCAAACAAACAATATGGTTTTAGGGAGGGAGTATCCGCGGAGAATGCAATATCGTACATATCTAATAAAATTTACAACTTAGTTGACAGCAGTACACCAACAGCTTGTGTATTCCTAGACCTGGCAAAGGCGTTCGATACGGTTAGTCACTTACAACTATTAGATACTTTAGCAGATATTGGTATAAGAGGAAACACATTTAACCTAATGGAAAGCTACTTAGAAAATCGATATCAAAGAGTGCGGCTAGAAGGGAAATTGAGTAGTGCCAAAAGCATACATTTTGGTATACCACAAGGGACTGTACTAGGACCCATATTATTTATACTGTACATAAACAATATCCTTACTTACCGGACTGAAGGTGATATATTAAGTTATGCAGATGATATAGCAATTTTGTACTCTACAGACACGTGGATGGAACTAAAGC